TCTTGGCAACCATTTTATTTTCATAGAAACCAATTAGTTTTGCAGTTAAAGAAAAGGCAGTTTCAAGTTTCCCTTCTGCCTGGGCTAAAGAACTAATTAATCACATAATCATTTAGCAATTATTAGACTTTATTTCTAAATGACTGCCCGCCTTAGCTCCCCAGGAGTCTCATACATCAGTGAGACAGAAGAGGTCAATTCTTCGTATCTCACACTGCGAGAAATATTAAACACTGGCTATGAATGGCAGCATCCACAAACAGAGGTGCTAATTGATTAGCAGAACCAAGCCTGGTTCATAGCAAGTGATGGCTTTAATGAAACGGATACAAAATCATAATTTATATACCTGGGACAACAGTAATTACAGAGTGCCAATGGAGTGGCAACAGATGCAATGCTTTGGCTACAACTATGAACAAGCAGCAAGTGACAACTGGCTTTGAGTTACATTATGAGTGATGGTAGAGGTCTTTAAGGAAAACATACAATCATTTAGTGTAGAAACCTTGCAGATTAAAGGACAATACACAGAATCAAGGAGTGCAATAAGCATTCGTGACAATAGCCAAATGTCAGACAGAAAATATACTTTTCTAGCCAAATGTCAGACAGAAAATATACTTTTCTAGCCAAATGTCAGACAGGTCAGCTAGCATGCACTACAGTATACAGCGTTAAATATGTAGTTAGACCTAAATTTGTCATTCAATATTATTAAACATACTAAAAATCCATAAATGTATTAAAAAAAAACTTATTTTGGGGGAAAGAATTAATCCAAATATAGTACAGTACATGGAAGCTCAACTTTTGCTCCTTATTTGTACGATACAGGTTTCAGACACAACAGGGTTATTAACTGTATTGTACATCCAGTAAAATGCAAAGCATGCACTGTCAAATAAGTTTTGAAATACTTAAGTAGTTTAAGTAGTTTTAATCATCAAAAAAACATGCATTTCAGGGTCTTCAGACAGTAAATCAGCTATAAAACATTGTCAAGAGTAAGCCATTCTCTAGCCACAGTTTTTTCTTTCAGTTCTACTTAGTTCTACTTTACTTTTAGTACTGCGAGGCAGACATAACCCAAGTTATTTAAACCATCTGTTGCAGCAATGTATCTTCTGTATGTGATGTTCACAAATCAGTGCTGGATGAAAGCTGAAATAATTTTACAGTTTGATTAAGGTGGACGATGCATGGCTCTTCTCCGAATGATGGATTTTGGAACTTGGAGTAATCACAGATTCTTTTAATTTATTCTTGTTGAGACCCAATCAAATTCAACATATTTGTGGATATCCTGTCTATCTTTTCATCTTAATATTTTTCTTATTAAAAAAAAAAAGATTTGCAAAATGGCCTTAAGTGTCATGGAGATGGGAAGCAGGCCTCAATTTTTAACGTACCCTTTAAAGGTTTTATTAATCTTAACATGGCTACTAATCTTGCAGTGCATTTTGTACTGTAAGTACGCCATGACAATAATCAAGTCTGATTTTCAAATCTTCACATAATATACTGACGTTTCCTACTTTATTTTTGATTTCATACTATTTCAACTTTAATGCTGAACAGTGACAGGTCGTATTGACACTGAAGTAGTGATGGATATGTACATTGTGTCATAATGAGTATATTGTTGGATGAGCTATTCAGTAGGTTAGTAAGGGTCAGATGAGTGAGGCTGGACTAAAAACTTTCATCCCTGGTGAAAAGAGACAAAAAAGCAGCATCATTACTGTGTAAGAATAATATGTACCAACTGGAGCAGCAAATTGTTTATTAAATTTAATAGCTTAGCACCAAATGTAATTTTCTTAAGCAGCATCTACTGTATGTGTTTTCTGAGCACTTAGAGTAACCAAGCTAAGAGCTTCTTGGCACTAGTTTCACAATGAACAGCAAATTGAGCTCCCACTTCCAACAAGTACTTATGTTAATGCCATTAAGTGTTAAAATGGCCACATGCTTTTAATTAGATATTTTATTCTGAACTCCCAAGTGACCTTTAAATACAAACGGACAGTGTTTTAGTAAAGTATAAATCTGAAATTAAGCAACATTAACTCATATCTCTTCAACATTATGTCCTAGGCTGGAACAGGAATTTATGCATTCACTTTTCTTGTTCATTCAGACATATTTTGCATCACCAAATTTTTACCAAAGGTACACAATTCATCGTAAATCTCATTTGTGTTTCTATAAATGTCTAGATCTTCTTCTGAATTGTCGACAAGACATTATATCCTTGCAGCACTGACTGGAATCTTTCAGAATGTTTCAATGAACAGCAAAAAAGAAAGTTTATCTTCATTACGACACAATTCTTTCACTTCAGCTTCAAATTAAGTGATTCTTAGTCAGGTGGCAGCATGAGACCTTTTCCACCATCTTTCCTCTTTCCACTCAGACTGTTTCACATCTTCCTAATGACTGTGACTGCCTTGACTGATCATAACTTTAGAGCTCCTACCATGCAATGGCTTTAGTACGGTCACTGCATAATATTTACTAATGACTTCCACAGAGCTGCACAAGTTAAAAGAACAATGAATTGCAAACCAAGAGTCTCTAATTATAAGCACATAGCCTGTATGCTTATTTCCATTTCATTAATATACATGGGATGAAAAATATAAGACCAAGGTTTAAGAAAGCAAAAGCAGAAATATTATTGTATAATGACCAGAAGTACTACATTAAGTCCATTAAATGATTTCACACAGTTTATTAGTTCATAAGCTATAAAGAAGTGTGCTAGTTTAAGTTTTGTTGAAGCAATTAAGTTGCTTTCAAACACAAAGTGGTAGAGCAAAAGAAAAAAAGGAATATATACAGTATAGGAACAAGTAATATGTTTATTCCATGCTGAAAAAAAGAAGAAAAAAAACACAACATTTCGGCCTGACATACTGTATATACAGTATAGGCATGTGTATCTACAGTGATGTAAAAAGACAGGACACCCCCTTAAGATTCTATAGTTTTACAGTACATATTAAGACACATCTGACCTTTGCCTAGTCCTCATCAAGTCCTAACAGTAGATAAATATAACCACATGTGTCAAATAACACAAATTGTACTTTGTCATTATTTATTAGACACAAAAGTCAGCCAACATTCAGTAGCCTTGTGTAAAAAAGATTCAGTAATGCGTGGAACCCTCTTTAGCATAAATAACTTGAATTAAATGTTTACAGTAAGAGCTCCCCTTATTCTTATAAAACTTGGACAAGCACGTGTTGAGCCTTAGATGTCTTCTAAGGGTCATCTAGGATCATGGTGATCTATGTAAAACTCTGTTTCATTGGTAAAGAGGACTTTGGCTGGACTATTTCTGAGTCCACACTTAGTCCATTCTCCAACATACTGACAGCAGATGGCACAAAGACACTGGTCTCTTCCTACAGTTTGCAGTCTATATGGTTCTGTTCTGTTTTTCTATCTTGATTTTTACTAGATTTGACATTCAACACTTTCATTTATCTCATCACCTGTGCCTAATCAACACTCACTAATGAGGTGATTTAATGCACCAGTCAAAGTCACTTGAGTTTGTCACAATCACTCATGAATGATCAATTAATTAATCACAATGATGTCAAAAACATGTTATCAATATCCAAAACCTGCATATTTTTTTCTAAAAGCATAAAGGCATAGAACAACATGTTTGATGCTCAGTACATATAGTATGTTTGCATGTACTGTATACATCTGAAGTAATTAAGCATACTTTTCTAAACCACATTGCACATCTACAGCTGCAATACTTTTACTGAACCACTGAACACGTTATTTGTGTTGGTGCAAATACTGCATATTACAAAATGTTAATCTGAATTTCTGTAAGGCTTACATAAACAACAGCATGGACATGACTAAACAAAAGCCATATTGTACAATTGGAATGCTTCTATTGACTCCTGTATTAGCAGGCCTATATACCCCCTTTTACACAATAATCTAATTACAAAAAGTAAGAACTATTCGTTTTTTCAGCCTCCTTAGCCCTTGCCCCACTCAACCCCATCCGATTAAATTAAAACAGAGTGAATTACAGCACCTTTTTCACAGACCAGTTTTTCTGGTGCTGAAACCTTGCAAAAATACAAAATGCACTGCAGAAATACAGCATCTTTTAGACCTAGAAGAAATGTGTCATCCAAGAGCCAATCATCCAAAGAGTCTTAATTTTGGAAGCCTTTATTACCTGATGCATTCAAGCCTGATTACCAAGTTTTATTTACTCTCACGTTCGCTATCTTACTTTATCCTGAGGTTTTAAGAAAAGAAAGGGATCTACTAAATTTTCCATCACTGTGCAGATCAATTTTTGCACAAAGAATTTGTCTGCAGATGAGGTGACGTGAATGGTGTCAAGCTCTGTCTAGGCAGTAGTCATTACAACATCTAAACCTTGCATTAGACTAACCACTAAAACATTATCTTGTTTGCCTACAACATATAGAATTTAAAAACAGGTGCAACTTTGAGTTTGATACACTATACACAAAGGTAAAAAGACTAACGTTCAAGCAAGAAATTAAGCCTTGTGCAACCCTGGCAGTGGTCTCAGGCAGAATATTTTTTTTAATACCAACGTCCCTTCTCCAGAACAAAATCTTTGTCACAATCCATCCAGTGATGATGCTGTTATTGCCAGCTATTTTACATAGTAAGAATGGTACTTGGCTACTTTGAAACCAGTGATCGATGTGTCATTTATCTGACATAGACAGGAACAGTAATAACACAGATTTAGAAATTATTGATAGTGGTTTAACATTTCTCTGAAATACGTCCACAAAGACCTTTAAAATAGACATGGATCTGTGTAACATTTAAAACAAATGTCACTTAAAATGCAGATTGCAGCTTAATACTACCAGATGGCAAATAAACTGAAACCGTATGTCTCATTTCATGACTAAGATGCTACGCCGTGAATTGAGAGAGATGCAGCCTTTCATGCAGTCGTGACTCACCACACAGCCAGTGGAGTCCAGCTTGCGGTCAGAGATGCAGCGAAAGTTCCTGCTGCAGCCACCGTTGTCTTTGGAGCAGTCCCTTACAGGCCCGAAGGAGTCCAGCAGGACCTCCAAACTGTCGAAAGCTGAAGAGATCATCAGCTCTTCCCTGGAAAGCACAACAGCAAGGGGACTCAGGATAGCCCAGCTCAGAGCAAATGCACACGTTCCTTACTGTGTTACAAATACAGATAAAACAAATGTGCCTCTTCCATGGTAACAGTTTGAGAAAAAAAACATTTGTTAAAACTTTAGAAAAATCACATTTTCTATGACGTGCTCTTTTTGTAATAACCCTGCCCTAAGACATCTGTTCAGAAAAATATAATTATGCCTTACATTTAATAGACTCATATTGTCATATATGTCAAACATATTGCTTTTAAACATAAACAGTAAATCGTGCTGTTTAAGAGACAGAGTGCACACCATTCTTAATTGGATAGTGCATATGTTGAATGTGAAGTAAAGAAGGTAGACTGCTGGGAGAACTGTTGAAACATCAAAGAAAAATCCACTACTGGAATAAAACAGGCCTTGAAAAACAAAGGATGGTACCTTTTTGAAAGCAATATTTTCTTTTCCTTGTGTTGTACAAATCTGTTATTTCATTACATTTTCTTTTGAAAAGTGATTGTATCTAACCATTCTTCTTTTATCACAGGCCATACACTCATCTGCATATATTTAGACAAGTACAGTAGTTAGCTCACCCAATAGACCAACCACTTCATTACAGTAAGCTAAAGCAAGTGGAGTACGGCTCGCACTTCATTTTTCTTTTCAGTTGACTAACTTTTTAAAGAAGCTATTCATCAAGCTATTCACTTTTCTCACAGCATATATTAATCTTCAGATAGTCTTATCTTGTCACTCTTAAAAAAAAGCCTATAAATGATCTAAATGTTTTATAGAAATGTCCCAATTCTCTGTTGAAACCTATAGGCTTTCATATGGTGTAACCTTTGCTTTAACTTTCTTTTTGCAGGTGGTACAACATATTTGTGCATCACATTAAAAAAAATAACCAAATGACAAACTGTTTTACCTTGCAAATCATCAATGATTGGTAGTCGTGTCTACAAAAGAATGGAATAGACTGCCAGATACTGCATATGGATTCACAAGTACTATTTGCAATACAATCTGTATCAAAGGAACAGATGCTTTAAAAATAAATTAAAACAGTGTTTAGAATTGCCACGTTCTTTAGTTAAGAATTAAATTTGTGAACAGTAATCAAAAGCAAACTATCAAGCCTTTGTTCAAAATCACCCGGACTTAGTCCCATTCCTAAAGTGTTTACAGGGTTTGGTTGTATGTTTGTCATATTTTATAAGTAATTACACTGCATTTCTAAAGTAGTCAAAGCTTTATCTTTCAATATTAGAAAATAAACGACCAGTTATATTTGTAATTATACTTCAACACCATGCAACCATGTAAACTATACACCATAAAGATTTAGCAAAAATATTTTATAAAAAGATTTTGCCATAAAAGTTTAATTTTCATGCATATTTAGTAGATGACTAAATAACACACAAGGTATTAATACATCATTATATAGCAATTCGTTTTTTAAAATGTAATTGTATTTATGTACACATAAACAGTTTATTCCATTGAAGCACATCCATGTCCCTGTCAAAGATGAACTTGCTTCCAGCTGTATTCCAACATTTAAATCAGTGTGAAATACAGCATAAAGAAGAGTGAAATATGTACTTTTGCTGGTGGAACAACACTAACAAAAAGAAACAATGACTTTCGACCAAGGCAATTGTATTAGGCAGTTCATGAAACAAATACAGTATACTAAAGGAGTATAAGATGCCGAAATACCACAGTATCATACAATTCAACTGAATTACATTGCTCTCTCCCTCAGCGTCTTGTATTCCCAAGCTTTTGAATGGTACTTTATACTGTAGATATTGAATCATTAAAAATGCGAGAAATTATTTTCAATATTTCACAGAAGTGTATATTTATAAATATGTAGTTCAGGTGGGTAGCTGCGTCAGCATGCGTAGGCTGCAAAGGAACAAGTAATAGGTTTATTCCATGCTGAAAAAAAGAAGAAAGAGAACACAAAGTTTTGGCCGTGGAGCCTTCTTCAGGTGTGAGAGAGACAGGGCAGTAGGCAAAGGTAACTGGTACAAAAGAACTGGTACAAAACTGAGCCCTTTGCTGAGGAGGGATCGCTCGTCCTGTGAAAGGGAAAGGTCAGAAGGTATGGTGACAACAAGGTTAGGGTTGGTGAGGGTGTCCGGGGTGTTGATGGTTTTCTTCTGTAGAAGATGACAATTCCAGATTACCCAGACAGCATCTTGTACCTCCAGCAACCTTATTTACTGTATCTCTTGCAGTAAATGCCCAGCCATCTACATTGGAGAAACAGGAAGGAGACTCGGAGACCGCTTCAGAGAACACGTCAGGGCTGTGAAGATTAAAGATCTCTCCAAGCCCATTGTTTCTCATTTCACCTCTGACGGCCACGACCACACTAATCTCTCCATCTGTGTTCTCAAAGACGGTTTTCCGAGCTCATACCTCAGAAAGACCACCGAAACTAAAATTATTCTGCAGTTAGGATCACACATTCTCCCTTCCCTTAACGACAGATTACTGTTCTTTTAAATTTTCTCCATTCATTGGAAGTTTCATTTCACACCTCTCTGCATCCATTCTGACTTCACACCTCTTGATTGGCCTCTCTTTCTGTCCCCTGCTCCCGCCTCTCACTCCTCCTCCCAACCTTTGTTCTCCCGCTACTTTACCTTTGCCTACTGCCCTGTCTCTCTCACACCTGAAGAAGGCTCCACGGCCGAAACGTTGTGTTCTCTTTCTTCTTTTTTTTCAGCATGGAATAAACCTATTACTTGTTCCTATTTATAAATATATCAGTCCAAACCATTTAATTTATTTCTGAACAATAAACCACATAAAAAAAAAACTCATCTTGGTCGCTATCAGATTTTTTCTACACTGTACTATATATGGTAGAATGATTTGCAGATGTGCAAATATGAATGTGATCATGGCAATTGTTCATGTGTTAATTTTTGTAATAACTTTGCCCTAGGGCATCAGTTTAGAAAAACATAGCTATGCCTTACATTTAAAAAACTCATATTTTCAAAATATGTAAAATATATTGGTTTTCAACATAAATACTATTATTCATAGTACATCTCGCTGTTCAAGAGATGGAGTGCACACCATTCTTAATTGCTTAGTAGGCACGTTGGATGTGAAATGAAGAAGATCGACCACAGGGAGCATCGAAGGTTTAATGATAATTCACTAATGGAATAAAACAAGCCTTGAAAAACAAAGAATGGTACCTTTAGTTTTGAAAGTAATAATTTCTTTTTGTGTGTGTGTTGTACATGCACGTTTCTTTGGAGAAGTGATTTTATCCTTCTTTCTAATCATTCTTTTTTATAGGAGGTCCACACTGAAAAAAGAAAGATAACAAAAATCGATTTTTCACTGTGAGGTCTTTTCCAAGAGTGCCTACTTGAAATGCTAAAATTATTTATCTAAATGAATAGTGTATGTGTTCCAAAACAGGGTATTTGCGATACAATAAAGTGCAATTCATTGCATGTAAAAAATCTGAAAGATTGTAAGCCTTCAAACAGCATAAAAGCTACAAAATTCATATAGACAACTATTGATTTTAAGCTTTACCTCAGCAATTTTAGAACATAATCTCCACATCATATTATAGTTAATATAATCAATGAACTCAAGGTTAAAACCATGCTACCATTTTTGATTAATTTTACTGTTGATTTAAAAAAGGTTCCATGTAAGCCAATTACACATACAGTACATACTGCACTTCTACAACATTTTGGCAATTATGAAATGTAGGAAAACAAGAAAGTCCTGTAAATTGATTTGGCATCTCTGCCACTTTGATGGGCAATCATTTGCTACTGAGTCATTTCTAAACTAATGGTGTGGTATGAATTCAAAATAAGTTCCATTTAAATAAATTGTTACATCTTACATCTAGGGTATTTTATTTGCAGTACAGGTATTTTTGCATCCGGGATAAGGAGACCTTCTGCACCTTCTGAGTAGTCCTAAGGTACTATCATGTTCGCTCATTTTCATTCCAGTTAAGCTCTAAATGTGGTTTTAATTGATCTGCTAGATTGCTTAGACCTTTGGTTAACGTGTTTCTGCTGTCAGTCGCAAGTTTCACAAATATCCCACTTCAAGGTTACAGTTTCCAACAACTTCAGCACATACTGTAGGAGTTTAAGCAGCTTTTACATTGAGTAAAAGCTGCTTAAACACCTACAGTACCTGTATAACGTGATGTTGTTGAAACTTGTTCTTGCAGTATTATTGACTAAACAGGTAATACTGGGCATTAACAGGGACAAAGGGCGATTGACAATGTATCAGACACTCCACACCAAGATGTTTTTACAATGGACCAATTATTTAAATTACAGAAGATAGAAGTGTTTGGGCACTATAAGCACATAATAAATACCCAGGTCCTGATGATATCCTACTAACTGTAAATTCAATGTTATACAGCATATAATCCAATGGCATTACGCAACAGAAGCTCAAGACAAGGGTTGTACCCATTGGAAGGGGGAATGCTAATAAACTGCCCATCCATAAGACAGCAGGGAATTGACGCAACATACCCAAGTAATTATAGACCAATACAGCAGACTTGTGTTACATGTAAGGTTATGGAAACAATAACTAGAACTAAATTAGAGGATCGTTTTTTATGGAAATAAGATTTTGAAAAGTTAGGTCATGCTTAGACAGCTTGTTAGAGTTCCTTAAATGAGTAACTACTGTAATGGATACACACGTATGTATGGTGCATTTAGATTTTCAGAAGGCTTTTGACAAGAGTCTCTCACAAAACAATAATTCTCAGATAACAGGTATAAGGCATTCAGGAATACGTGTGTGCTTGAAAAAAGAACTGGTTAAATATTACACGGAGAGGACAGATAAGTGGTAAATGCTCAAACTCAATTAGTGGAGAACCACAGGGATCTGTACTAGGCCCTCTGCTCTACATACTGTAATGTATCAATGATCTACTTTCTGGTATAG